GGAATTAGCTCCTAGGTCATGTATTTATGTAGTCCCGTGGTGCTTCTTGAAGCACAAAATTTCAACATAGGTAGATTTTTTTAAATTTCAAAGTATTTATGATATGGATATGATTTTTAATATATCAGCCTAGTCTATCAAGTCTTACAATGACCCTTACTCTTTTCAGCCACTGTATCACCATAATCCCAGAGAAGAAAGCAAGTGTGAGTTCTACTATGACCAGGAAAAGGACATGATATTTGAAGGATCCATATGTGATGGAAAGATCAGTTGAGGGAACCCTTCCACTTGTGGGAGAGAAAGAAGAACAGGAGAAAACAGTAGCCAGACACGTATCTGCCCAGAAAAGGGGGCTTCAGAAAGTTCACGAGAAGTTGCCATCACCTTCTAATTCCATTTTTCCATAAACTTCTAAGTCAAAATCTAAAGGGTAGGTGGTGAAAGAAATATCTGGTGTGGTATGGGCCAACTCAAAAACTTTGGTTCCCATTTTCAGGAACATTGAAGCAGAGAGTGGGGCCACAGAGTGGTGGTACCTGAGCATAGAAAACATGGGGCACTCGGCTGTGCCCTTGGGCAGGCAGAGATACATTCCCCACAGCGGCTTTCTGTGTAATGACGTGACTCCAAACCTTGCCAGCTATAAGTAGGAAATGTGCCCATAATCTCTTCAATATACACAGAGCAGGACAGTCTCATAGACTTGGGGCCTCCCAAGCTTTCCATTTCCTGGAACATCTTTTGGAACTGGAAAGAAGGGTCCCTCCTGTTTTATCCCAGGATGGTTCGTCACAGGAACACATAGTCCTTTAAGCAGAAACTACTTCATCAAACCATACATCGACTTCCATGACCCAGACAACGCAATCATAATAGTCAGTGCTACCTTCTCCTCAGTAGCTGAGCTCCCCAAAACTAAACAGCACACATACAGAAGCCCAAACTTTTAATTTAGTCCCATATTTGGTAAACTAGGAAACATTTATCTACCTCCTCCAGGGACTAGTCTTGTTAAGCCACCATATGCTCACTTCACTACAAAAGTCACACAACAGGTTCATCAACTACTCCACATTCAGATTTCTGGTGACTGCAACATTTTCTCCGAGCAAAAAAAAAAAATGAATGCTTTATATGTGCATATATAGAGTACATTTTAGTACTTTGCCCCAAATAAAGGAAGTCAAAAGCCTGTCTTCATAAAACTGCCAGCTACTTCCAAACACAAGTTCTCCCACTTCCAAACCAACCAGGGTGTCTGGCTAGAAAACCACCTCAAGGGTGAGATTAGAAGTGCATCCTGGTGGTTCTGTGGAAACCACCATAAAGGCTCTCCATAACAGATACAGAAAATCCACTGGGCTTGAAGACACTAGAAATCACCATCCCTTTCAGTGCAAACATTATGTGGACAAATGAGCTCAGCTCTGGTGTTCCAAGGCGGTAAATCACACTTGCATATACCTATTATTTCTTTAGGGAAATATGGCACATATAGTTCAGTACGGGTTGGATCTCCTTCTATGTGCAATACTAACTGTAACTTTAACGTGTACAATATCTGAATAAAAAATAATGAAGGCTACCTATGAAAAACCCACAGACGTCTATCCTGGTTTGAGTCCTCAGCTCTACTGCTCACTGGCTGTGGTCATGGACCAGGCTCTGGATATTAACTTTCCCATCTGTAAAATGTGGGTAACACGTCCCAGCTCACAGATTTTGAGATTTGTTTTAGGAATGCCTGGTTCATCTCAGGGATCCCAGAATTATGGGTCTTGTCCCCACAAAGAGTTTATGCAGGGTTATGGATACTGGAACATAAAGCAAACTTTTTAAAATTTACTTATATGTTTTGTTAACATCAAATACTTGCACATTTCTGTGGGGTACAGTGTAATACTTCCACACACATGCACATGATAAACCAAGGAATCCAGGCAACCAGATGCATCCTTTTCCTTGTTTTTGGTGCCTATCAGCTTCTCTCTTCCAGTTGTTTATACAGCATATAATATGTTATTGTGAACTACAATAACTCTACTGAGCTGTGGAACACTGGAATGTGCTACTTCTGTCTATACCTGTGAGCCGATCTCTCCCTATCCCCCATCCCAACCCTTCCCAGCCTGTAGATCAACTATTTTTTAACTTCCATGTGTGAGGAAAAACAGAAGTATTAGACCTTCTGTATTGGTGGAAATGTAAATTAGTATTACCATTATGGAAAACCATATGCAGGCTTCTCAAAAACTCAAACTCCATTTGGCCCAGCCATTCCACTTCTGGGTATATATTCAAAAGAACCGAAATCAGTCTAGCAAAGAGATACCTGCACTCCCACGTTCATTGCAACACTGTTCACAAGAGAAGATATGGCATTAACCTGCATGTCTACTGACAGAGAATGGATACAGACGTGATCTACACTCACAATGGAATATTATTCAGTCACAAACAGAATGCAGTCCTGATTTCGGCTAAATGGATGGACCTGGGGACCATTGAACAGTGAAATGGGAAATACTTTTGATCAGGAGGCCTTTCTACAACATCGACAGAGCTGTGCCTCCTCCATTTGTGCATGCCCCCAGTCAACCCACTAACGATGCCAGCAAGCCTGGAGGAGCACTCAGGACCACCCTTCACTGCACTGTATCTGCTCTCAGAGATGGTTGTGCTTAGAGAGGAACAATCACATGTACAAGACAAATACAGGGCAGTAGATGTGAATCCAACACACACAAATTGAATGCCTCAGTCTAAGCCTATCAGGTTTCTGTACATACTCGAAGGGCAGTGCTCACACATTTTTGGTGAATGCTTAAGAATTATCCATAAAAGTTGTGGATTTTTAATTTTTGGTCACTTTGTGTACAAAGATATTAGGGACTCATTGAAAATCCCACTTTTGGGGCTGGCGCTGTGGCTCAGTAGGTTAATCCTCCGCCTGCAGCGCCTGCATCCCATATGGGCACCAGTTCAAGTCCCAGCTGCTCCTCTTCCAATCCAGCTCTCTACTATGGCCTGGGAAAGCAGTAGAAGATGGCCCAAGTCCTTGGGCCCCTGCACCCCTGTGGGAGACCGAAAGAAGCTCCTGGCTCCTGGCTTCGGATCGGCACAGCTCCAGCCGTTGTGGCCATTTGGGGAGAACCAGCGGACGGAAGACCTTTCTCTCTGTCTCTCCCACTCACTGTCTATAACTCTACCTCTCAAATAAATAAATAAAATATTTTTAAAAAGAAATAAAATCCCACTTTTAAACAAGATCTTGAATTAGAAGTTTGTGGCATCAGGTTCAAATATAAATTTGGATATGTATGATCTAAAATGCAAGCATATTCTTTTAAAAATTGCATCATCTGAACCTAATAATGAGAAAATTTCAGACCCAATCTGTACTGAGGGATGTCTTAGGGTACTAGTAATGTTTTGCTCTTAATTTGGGTGTTTGAGTATGATCAGAAAACCCAAAACTTATTTATCTGTACATTTGTGTGCATTTCTCGGTATGTATATGTATTTCAATAAAACACTTTTTTAAAAGACCTAAAAATTAGTAATAATTGGCCTATATTCTCCAAAACTCTTGAGGTTGTAAAAGAGAATGGTGGTCTCAGGAACAGTTCTAGATTACAGGAGATCAAAGAGACAGGACAGCTAAAGGCAATGCATGATCCTGGACTGGCCCTAGGACTACTGATGAAATCGTATTACCTCCAGATTAGATAATAGTATTTTCTCAGTGTTAATTCTCTGATTTTGACAACATCTAAAATTTAATCTCAAAAGGATCAAAAAATAATATGTAGGGGGCCAGCGCTGTGGCATAATGGGTAAAGCCACCGCCTACAGTGCCGGCATCCCATATGGGCACCGGGTCAAGTCCCAGGTGCTCTACTACCAGCTCTCTGCTATGGTCTGGGAAAGCAGCGGAGAACGGCCCGAGTGCTTGGGCCCCTGCACCCATGTGAGAGACCTGGAAGAAGCTCCTGGCTCCTGGCTTTGGATCAGCCCAGCTCTGGCCATTGTGGCCATTTGGGGAGTGAACTAGCGGATAGAAGACCTCTCTCTGTCTCTGCCTCTCTGTAACTCCACCTTTCAAATAAATAGATAAATCGTTTAAAATAATAATAATGTGTATATATGCATGGATACAGAGAGAGACTGAGAAAGCAAATGTGGTAAGATGTTAACATTTGGATAATCTGGGTGCATCTGGAATTTCTTATACCATTTGCCATTTTTCTGTAAATCTGAAGCAATTTTTAAAACCCTCTGTGATGCTCCTGCCATTCTAAGAAATCATAACAGCAGATCTTACATCTACCAGCAGTCTGTCTCCTGCCTCCCTGTTTTATTCACAGAGCAGTGAAATCTGTTCCCACACTTTCTTCCCAGTACTCTAGCCATGCTATTACTGGAGTCCCCTGACACTCCCTTCTCTAGCAACCACAGAACTGAAAAACTCCCTGTGATTTCTAAGAGATTTCATATAAGACAAAGCATTCATATCTTTTCCACTTAAACTCAGTGGTCCACAGGAACAGAACTGCAGAATTCTAAGAAAACGCAGGCTTTGTTCTGTTAGTTTCCTCCCCACACAAATCCATGTACACAAGGGAAGAAAAACTCATTTTCAAATCAGAACAAATAATAAAATAAAAAATCGAAGGAAAAAGAAGCCAGCAGCACCAATGACCTTGTTCCAGGGACATGGGGCTTTGAACCCAAGGAAGTCTGAGTTAAGATCTCAGAGACTGCCGCTGGGCCCAGGCAATTCCCACATACTGGCAGGAACACCCCTGGAGAGCCCCTGCCCACATCAGAAGCCTGGCATTCCTTCATTCATACTTTTACGTCCTCCCAAAATTGACCGCTATTACAGCCCATTTCCCCTGGGATGTAAGAAAAAGGACCCATACAAAAACGTACACTTGCCATTTAAAGACGAAGCACAACATGAGGTGACATGAAAACCAAAGGGATCTTCTTACCTTCGAATAGCAATTGTTGTGTGCAACAGGTTCCACGTCTGTACCAGGTCCCTGAAGGGTTCCAGCTACTTCAATGCATGCAGAATATATAGGGAGAGATTATATATCTGGGTTTTTCATAACACAAGGTGTTTGTAATGGGTCCTCAGCCAAGATCCACTTTAAAACAAAAGCTACACAAAAACTACAAAAAGGCCACACAAAGTTTGAACAAAAGGCTAAAGACAGACCAAACAAAAGCCAAAGAAAGTTTAAACAAAGAGTGAAACAAAGACAAAACAAAGACCAAACAAAGACAAAAACAAAGGCCAAAACAAAGAGCAAAAGAAAATCTAAACAAAAGCTAAGTCACACACACACACACACACACCATATCCACACTATCGCCTCACACACACTCAAGTACTCCAGCCTCCTGCCTCTCGCAGCTCACGATACCAACTACCAGAAAGGCTCATTCCAAACCAACTGTACCCCCACATCAAACCACATGTCAGGCCTAACCATACCACACACCAGCCCACACTACCAAACCACGCCCTCCTGCCAACACACCGTGCCGTCACAGTAACCATCACCCCGGGACACCACACTTCACCCCACACATCACTAGCCACACCCATAGGCCATGAACAATGTTGGAGTCACACTGACAAATTCCCATCTTGGGTCCTGTTTTTATACTCTATGCAGATTAAATATTCACCCATACTCCTCTCCCTAAAATATCTACATACACACACACCAAGACTAACACTCACACATGCATACCCTTGCACATTTAACTTGACAAGAATCTAACCTAGTCTACTTCAAACTGACACTGAGGTTGGAGGATTCCATGACAATCACCTTATGCACCCAAATTTATGAAAATCTCTATAAACCATCTCTTACGGTGCATGGTTTCTGTAAATGATGAATCTCATTTAGCTAATATAATAATGTTGATTTTGGTTTTTGATATTTTCTTATTATGTTCCTAAAATTTGGGGTTACCCTATCGAGTCCCATAACTCCCTGCACTGTGTTAAATTTCATGGATCCTATAACTCTGTGCTACTAAATTTTATTAGACATATTTTTATATATATATACAGATACACACACATACATACACATATAGACTAACCCACTATTGATATGAGAAATGCAAGCTTATTTCTGAACCCAATCCAACCAACAGCAGCTCTGCCTCTTGAATTCCCAGAGTACCCTACATGATGGTGAAGCAGGTCAACATTATCACCAAGTTTCATTTTAGGCCCTTGTCTCAGTATGTTCAAAAGAGAATCAGCCAGGGAACTGATAATCCAATGACACCACAGCATTCAATGTAAATCTCATGGTATACCTAACTTCATGGTTAATTAAATTCTTCCTCAGAGCAGTGAGTTACAATTGGATTCTGGCTGACGCACTCCTACTGTGTTCCCTGGCTGATTCTCTTTCGGGTCTACTAAGAGGCTAGCAGTTGCTTGCGTTATAAAGAATGCGTCTGAGAGATGAGGGGTGGAGTGAGGTGGTTCAGAGCATGGGTTCTGGAGGCCCTGACTCCTGGGACAATCACAGGACCCACCTGAAAGGTTAGAGTGAGGACCAAATTGGTTAAGGTGTGCACACTGGTTTCAGCAGTGCCTGGAACACAGAATACTGCACCAGTGCTAGCTTCCCTGCTCCTGGCCCTGAAGAAGCTCACAAACAGGTGTGCGTGACAGCTATAAGGACTTGCATCCTGTTTACAAAACAGCTGGAGACCAATTCAAGATATTTTAACACTGCAAGGTTGACTGCGTAGATTATGAAGATCCATGTTCAGTAAAGAATCCCTCTGCTTCTCAAACCTTTCCAACAGGGATCCTTAAAGGCAAACTTATGTGAAGCAAAATTCTTTTAAAAATATTTTTCCAAATTTTATCTTTTGGGGGAGGGGGTAGGAGAGAGCGAGAGCTCCCATCCACCAGCTCACTCCCCCTAATGTCTGCAAGCGGGGAAGCTGGATCTCACTCCAGGTCTCCCACACGGGTTGGTAGGAACTCAGCTACTTGAAGCACCACTGCTGCTTCCCGGACTCTGCACTGACAGGGAGCTGGAGTCAAGACCTGGAGCCTGGAACAAACCCAGGCACTCCTCCACGGGCGCAGGTCTTTTAACTGCTACCGATGAGTGGCAGGGTTCTTGTCTTCGCGCAAGAAAGAATTCAGGCGTGAGACAGAGTAGTGGAAAGTAAAAGTAGCAAAGTTTATTAGGGAAGGGACATCCGCAAGAACGGATGGGCACCTCTCCAGACAGAACCTGAGAGAGGGTGCCCAGTCGCTTGGACAGGGGGAGGAGCAAGGTTACATGGCTGAGTGGAGAGATCACACCTGGGCAGGCAGGCAGGCGGCTCAGCAGAGAGGCAGAGGGCTGAGCGCACCTTCCGGTTGAGGCCGGGGGTGCAGGGGTAGCTTTAAGGAGATGGGTCTCTTTGTCTTCACACATCTCCTGAAACAAAGGACTTTATGGATGTAAATATTAAGAAGCTCCTATCTGAGTTTTCTCCTGAAGGTATCAGACAGGAGGAGGCCTTGCTGGTGCCGTCCTGGGTTTAGAGGAAAGGTGAGCAAGACCCCCTGGAGAATTAGGATCCGGAGCAGGGTATTTGAAATGCAGATACTGGGCTGCATCTGGGAGATTGTGGAAGATTCTCAGGCAGAAGGGACGGGGACCCCCACCCGGCAGGTTATCGGGTAGAAGCCAACAGGGCAGGATGCAAATACTGGGCTGCCTCTGAAACGTTATTGGGATGACTTTGAGATGCAGATGCATATACTGGACATAGATGTCTTTTCTTTAGGCCTGTGTCACACACACATAAGCTCATATCTGACTTCCTACCTAACATAACCACTAGGATAAATGCCCGTCCCTGTGGAGTCGCCTCCATAATACCTATTTGGGATGATACCTACTTTATTCAACCGGTGTAAGGAGGTCTCACAAAATGCTCATTATGTCATCTCTGTTTTATTCCTAGTTAAATGTTGGTGCTTGCCTCCACGCAACAGCACTTCCAGTCCCAGAAAGACTGCCGAGGCGGCCACTTCTGAGTCAGGGCCACTCCTCTTAGATGACAGCCGGCATTCCGCACACAGCTGGACCTCCCAGCCATCCACGCAGACTCACACGTTACAGAGTGAACTGTGCTCCTTTGCCCTCCTCCAAACTCTATGGGGAAGACCTAACTCCTAGGACATCTATGGGTGCCACTACTTGAAGATAGTCTTTAGAGAAGCAATCAAGTTAGAATGAGGTCACTAATCCAGTATGTCCAGTGTCTTAGCAAAAAGGAGAAATTTGGACACAAAGAGAGAAAGTAGCCATCTACAAACCATGGAGAGAGGCCTTGGGCAATCCCTTCACCCACAGCCCTCAGAAGGAACCAATCCCTCCAGTTTCTTGATCTGACTTGTAGCTTCAAAAGCAATGCATTTGTGTTGTTTAAGCCAGCCAGAACTTTGTTATGAAATCCCAAACAAATTAATATACTATGGTGCCAATAAGTACTATATTAGTTTTCCTACTTATTGAAATAATGCTTGTGCAAAATTTTTCATTAGTAAAAAGCTTACGTTTTAGAACAATAGCCCCTTATGGGACCTCAACCTACTCCATCATTCTACTCACTAGAGATAACCAAGTGTAACTTTTTGGAATATTTTTTTATTTGACAGGCAGAGAATTAGAATTAGAGTTTAGAGTTTAGAGTTAGAGAGTGAGTTAGAAAGTTAGAAAGTGAGTTAGAGTTAGAGAGTTTTAGAGAGAGAGAGTTTTAGAGAGTTAGAGTTTTAGAGTTTTAGAGAGTTGTTAGAGAGTTAGAGAGTTAGAGAGTCAGAGAGTTAGAGTTAGAGTTAGAGTTAGAGTTAGAGTTAGAGTTAGAGTTAGAGTTAGAGTTAGAGACATACAAAGACAGACAGACAGGCAACAGAGCTCCCATCCACTGGTTCACTCCCCAAAAGTCGAAGTCAAGAGAAGAGGCAAGACTCAAAGAGGCATTCCAACCAGCAGTTTAAACACTAAGCCAGACGCACACCCTGATTTGCAGTCTTTATTTACTTCAATACATGGAATAATGTTTTCTGTTGTTTCCTCTCATTCTCTGCTCTGTTGCTCTGGGTTAAGTTTCGTTCTCTAGGTCTGGGGTGGGCCTAAGTCTTCTTCCCTCCAATGCTTTACTTCAATAGGTGACCTTGGCCTGGATACCATACCATTACCATCTTTAGTTTCCCCCCTCATTTTCCTGAGACACACCCTTCAATATACCTTTCTCAAGAAGTTATATACAAAGTGGATTTTTTCCAAGTGCTTGCATACCTGAAAATGGCACACTTGTGTGCCTGGTTAGGCACAGAACTCTATATACTCAGAATTATGGACACATCTCCTCGTCTGTAGTTTTCCCCTAGTACTTTTGGAAGAAGTCCAGATGTTTCAGATTCAGATTGTAACTTTTTTTCTGAATTCCTGGAGAAGTTCAGGATCTTATTCTAATTCCAACTGCTCTAAAACTTCACCATGTTATGATTCAATTTGAGTCTCTTTTCTTCCCCACTTGGTGGACTATTTTCATCTGGAAATTCATAACATTTCATTCTGAAGTTTTCTCTTTTTTTCTTTTTCTCTTTTTGTTTCGGTTCTTTATTAACTTATTCCTCTCCATTTTCTTTCTTCTTTCTGAATTTTCTACTATTTGGCTGTTGAATCATCTCAGCTGATCCTCTAAACTGTTCCTAATTCTGTTCTTTCCAGTTGCCTATTCTTTGATTTTTTTATTTTTCACAAAGTTTTCTGATTTTATTCACTGTACCCCTTCTGTTGAATTCTGAATTTCATTTTGACATTTGTATTTTAAAATTCCAACACCTTATTGTTATTTGCTGACTTTCCCTTTTTCAAAGAACAATGGAGTTCCTCCAAACCTAGAAAAATAGTCATTTATGACGCTGGGGGATGTTTGCTTGTTTTGGACTTGTTTGTCTGCTTCCTTGTAAGTTTTGCTCCTCGCATTACATTGGATTGCTTACTCTAGCTTCCTTCATCCTGTTTACTTGTTTTCATTTTTCCCTTCTTATTGAAACCTTTCCCCTTTGTCTAGCGATCTTTCATTGTCCACTACTGTCCACAAGAGGTAACTGGATGCTCCAAGTACAAGCACGGAGCCCACTGGTGGGGTCTCAGTGAGTAGCCGTGCTGGCCTTCACACTGGCAGACTTCAAGATATACAACTCCAGAGGAATCTTCAAGGGTCACTGAGCTTCTTCAGGCAGGAGCAATCTATTTTCAACCTTGGCAGGGGTAGGGAAGTTACTGTTGGTATTCTGTGATAAGGCTAGACAAGGAACCTGTGTGACCCAGATGAGTATGTGGACTTGTTCCTTGGGTAAGCTCTGCCCCTGGCTTTTCCATGTTCCTGAGTCTGGATATTTCTCCACAGCAAGTTAGGGCAGTGAACCTGGGGACCCTTTCAGATGGGCAGCTTCTCCACGCCTTACCCTGGCTTCCCATTGCACCTAGTGCCTCGGGCTGTATCCTGACAGATGTTTCCACATGCTTTTCCCTGATGTCGCACCTGCAAGCGCCTAATTTGGTGCTTCCTCCACTCTAAGTCAGTTGCCAACCTCCATCTACTTTCTGTCTCCTAGAATTCTGTTATAATCTTTTATCTTTAGGTATCTCCCTGTCGCTGGGATTTAAACCTTTTTTTTTTTTTCAAAAATGCTTTGCTGTCCTTAGGAAGTAAAATCTTTTAAATCCTTTATCTTTTAAAAATGTTTTACTCCTATAATGATAGCAATGTTTTAGAAGAGAGAATACATAAGTGTGTGTTTGGTAGTC